TCGCTTCTGACCTGCAAGGGGGTGACATTCACCTGCAGGTCCATCTTCTCCAGTATTGTGCTGATCACACACAGCAAATAGGAGAAGAAAGGAAACCATGGCAACTATGTTAATTTCTAAATCCAAAAGTTTTCACAGCAGAACACAAGAGGAATACCATCTGGACATCACAGGTTCTGTACAGTAGCGGTCCCAGAGTTCTTTGTTACCAGGCCATGAGAGTTGCAACTCCAGTGTGAAAATTATGTTTTTCAGGGTTTTTATCGTCTTTTCCCGTGTTGTAGTTGTGTGCCTTATTTTGAAAGAAATGGCTACACGTTACCATAGCGACCGGGGCACATTAAGGGGCAGAGAGGAGGATGTTACTCTTTTGGTGCATTTTCAGGAAGATGCTTATAATCAAGTTACACAATTACACAGTTAATTCACGTTTTTTAATATAATTTCTAAATACCACAGTTTTTAGTCTTGGTTGGATCATTTTATTTTGTTGTATTTTTCCGCGACACCTTAAAGGCTGCTCCGTGTCTGACACTAAACCAGTCCATGTCGCAAAAAAGGTTGGGGACCGCTGCTGTACAGCATGAGGGTTAATAAAACCGTACTCATATGAATATAATATGTAAATTGATTGCACTCTCCACAGAAGCCCCAATGCTGCTCAAGGCCAGAACACCAGAATGCACACATACCCTTAGCCCTAAACCCTACAATAACCTGTAACCCTGACACTAAAATGACATTTTAAATTTGAAAAAAGCATTCAAACTCGTCGGGTCCGCCATTTTGCCCTCATAAGTGACTGTTGGTCACCACAACTATAGTGGCATGCCAATTTTATGTCCTAACAAAGATTGTGCTACCATGGGCAGCACGGGCAGCTCCAGTTAAGGTTTTTTAAATGTAATTTGGATTTTAGCAGAAAAACGACATCCTTTCCTTTTAACCAGAACCTTGTTTTATCCGCATTTCACAACCTCCCATGCCATTCAAGTCAAGAAGTTTCTCAGGAGCTTCAATTTACTCACAACAAATGACTCAAGGCACTTTATTTTGTAAGGTAAAGATCCTGCAATAACACAATGACCTTGCTAATGACCTACTAATTGTATTCAGGAACCTTGGTATATTTGATTTCAGCCAGTGTAAATGCACATGTGCAAACACACACATCCACAGATAAACACCAATCAGACATAACATCATGATGACAGGTCAAAGGAGTTTGCAAAGAAAAGCGTCTGGACTTCTTTAAGTTGCTTGAAGACGTTTCACCTCTCATCCAAGAAGCTTCTTCAGTTCTAAGGTCAAATGGCAGAGTGTCCCAGATTTAAACCTAGTGGGAGT